TATATATATCTTGCTTTCTTTCCAGCATACTTGGCATTTAATATCAAGACAACTATTTGTGAACTTTCACAAAATCACATTCTTCTGCGTGTTGTTTATTTCAGCACAATCAGAATTAAAATCAAAAATTGAATATCTAACAGTGAAACAACAGATCTCTGGTCCTGAGATTAAGTTTAACAAACTGAGTTAATAAGTTCTGATTGTTTATTGTAAGCTAATCACACTCAAAAGGAAATTAAAGGAAAAAGGTGAACACTATTGTTCACCATGGCAACTGATAAAGACCAGACACTACATTTTAATTTCAGCTGAGATTAATATAATATAAATCTGTGCCAACGAAACAAGAATTGGAAGAAGCATCTAACAAGTTAAAAAATAGGCTTCAGTTTATTTAATTTGATTTCATTAAAGATCAATGATTCTGAAGTCATAGTCTGATTTAATCTGATTAATTTGAGTCTTGATTCAAATGCGCATTTTTGGGGGCTTTTCAGCATCTGAAAATCTGTCTTGACAGGGTTTAATCAGTTCATTTCAACTTGTGTCATTATTGCAGTATGAAATTAATTTCTTCATATGTTTGAATTAATCACAGCTGCCCCAATGTCAACAAAACAAAGACCATGTAAATAATTTGAGTTCTGGTTGTTTAGAGGAATGAAACAAAGTCGTTCTTCTTGACTCTGATGGAAGACATTAAATGGCATCAGACAGCTGCTTCTTGGATCAGCCGGAGGGAAGGAACCAGGAAAAACTTGGTTTATTGGGAAAAAATAAACACCTTGAGCAGGTTAGTGGGAGAGTTTAGTTGCTGTAGTAACATTTTTTGGTACAGAAACCCCTGTTTCATCTCAAGATTCATCCGCAGGTGAATGAATTGTTCCTTCAAAACCTCGTTGAGACTTCAGCTCTGTTTCAAATTAGCACATTTTGAAAAAAAAAATTATCCTGAACTATATCAAATGGGGCAGTTTGGGGAAAAAAGTTACTTTGATAGTTTTCCATATTTACTGACATGCAGTTCTGAAATGCAGGTACGCACTTGATGTAAACAAAGCACTTTTTCCTGCGTATTTTACTGAGCATAAATACATATCAATACATACATTTGTCAGGTTACTTGATTCTATAGCTCTTCAATGGACGCTGCTAGATACTGGTTATAAGTAAACAAAGTTGGCAGCTGTTAAAAATGTCGCTATAAGTTTTTAATTGAAAGACATATTAACGAACAATATAAGACAGAGATTATGCACATATTTGTTTGTGGTTTCAGTGTTTTTTACCAGTCTTTTTTTACATTGCAATGAGAACCTTTTAAACCTTTAAAGTACCTGTAAAAAAATGTTTTACTTAATGTCTTTTGGTTGAGAAGCGTTTGACAAATAGGTGAAAGGATCAATATCAGATCTATAAAAAATGTTACAATATAAGTTTGTTTAATGCAGCAATGGACAAACAGACCTTTATCTCATTATGACAAAATAAATCTGAAGAGCGTTTCTAAATTTCAGCAACTATCAGATGAACCAAAGTGTAAAATTCTCCAGACTTTGTAAAGCAGAGAAAGTATTTTCATGTCTGTGAAAGTGCCGAATCACACTGTTACACTTCAGCGTTTGTGTTACAAGCGACAGATCGCTCCCATCAAGCTCGTTTGGTAATTAGCAGAACAGACTTTGACACATTTATAAATAAACGCTTCAGTCTCCAACCAGCAGGTTGCTGCTTCCAGTTTCCACCCTCTGCTGCATATTTGGAACAACTAAACCAAAGTTACTTAAATTAAAAGTATAAGGCCTATTTCAGTCATTAGAAATTAAAGTTTAGCAAATTAAAAAAGGAGGGTGGGGGTATATTTCCAGGCACAAAGTTCAGTTCGATATTACAATCAAGTAATTATGTTACCTTCAGTTGTTTTGAAAATACTGTGTATCAAAAATAAATTTGACTTTGCATCATAAATGCCTTGACATTGCTCTTGGTCTCTTCAAGAACCTCCTACTCTTTCAGACACTCCCACTTCAACAAATCTTCACAACAATGTTTCAGGGGACTGGTGCTCAGTGAGCCACCATGCAGGGAGGAGTTTTGTGTAAATAGGTGGTGCTTTGTACCAGTAAGCAATTAGACTGCTCCACATGGCTACCACTAGCCTGGTCAAAAGCAGCCCCTTGTCCTTCACTTTCCTTCATACAAGAGTCTGGACTCTCGGCTATAGAGAAGTGATCCTTGCTGGAGGCGTGGTCTCTGCTGAAGTTTAAAACAATTGGATCGGTTGGCCGTGACGTATGTGTATGCCAGCTCCACTGAGAAGGAAGCTAAGAAGCTAACTGGAAATTGCGTGCGCTGTAAACAACCCTACTGAGAGGAGAGAAGTACCACGCCAAAGGAGACGGCTGTAAATGAGAGCTGCTGGCATTTTCAGACAAATCTAATTTAATGTAGAAGCCTTAACACAGACTGGCTTCATTCATTTCCTCCTCCATTGCCATTGCTAAACGCATAATCTACGGAGCCCGCGAGGGGACATGGGAGATTTTTTTTCTTTTGCGTTCCCACGCAATAATATTGCGTTACCTTGCAATACCTTTTGCATTCCCTCGCAAAAGTCATTTATCACTGTTGTGCCTGCCAGTTTATTAACAAATTCACGTTTACCATTAGCAAGTTAGCCTACTACTTTAATTCAGCTTCAGAATGAATATATCACACAGCCACGCATGGAAGTATGTCATGCCGATATTTTAACACAGTGCAGCCACGCAACATCAATGTCAGTTTCACAAACTTGTGGCAATACATCCTGTTTTGGTAACCGGATATTTCAAAATAAAAGTCTGATATAATTCAGTTTATATACAAAACAAACTTTTGCATGGGAACGCAAAACAATTTTGCGAGGGAATGCAAACGTTAGCGAAGTAACGCAAAAGGTTTTGCGTGGGAACGCAAAAGAAAAAAAATCCCCCCATGTCTCCTCGAGGGCTCCATAACAAGCAGACACTGCACAGAAAATGGATGTCGTTCAAAACTTCTCCTTCTGTTTGCTGATTGGCTCAGGTAAAATTCTACTGAAGAAATTATTGTGGAGCGGTGAAGGGAAACTAGAACTGAGGGGAACTGCATGGGAAGGCAAGGGCCAGGCTAGGCTACCACAGGAGAGTCAAGGATTGAATGAAGCATGAATGAGTCAAAGCAACACTCTGGTATGATTTTGCTGAGAGAATAACATTATAACATGATATAAAACAATAAAGATTTTGCATAATGCAACCCCCTCCCCCGTTTAATTGTATAATGTCTGCTATTTATCTATATTTACTAGCTTTTTGTTTTTTAGTCAAATATTTTAAAAGACTTTGCTTCTCACAAAAGGTTTGGACATGGACAAAGTAGAGAAATGTATGGGTGCTGTGGGTGCTGCTTCTTCTAAGTACAGAAGAGGATTAGGGCCACAGAATAAAAATTGTATGTTCTGACTTTAATTTCAGAATTCTGATTTAAAAAAAAACGCAGAATTCTGTCAGAAGTTTTTTTTTTTTTTTTAGCAGTGCCTTATGTTGAAATTCCAGTCTGAATAATAAAGAGTTTGGCAGCCCTGTAAATCAGCACTTTTATTGTAAGTGTGCAATATTTTACTGCTACCTAACACCCACAAAAAAAGTGGACAAATTATTTAGGTCATGATTTATGGGACGTGCAGCACAAGATGTTTCCCAAATGTACTTTTGTATTTTAAATGTATACTCTAGTATGTAACGCTTTAACTCCTGTCTAATCTCCAACACTTAGGCCTCACATTTGTTCCCAACGTCTGAGTTATTTATGGGCCTGAGATGCAGCAGAGTGTCCTCAGCTCGTTTCTTCTCAAACTACAGCAACAGACCTTTAAATAACTCAGCAGCTGTAAGACATATGTTCCTCTGCAGTGGAACTACTATGTCTTCACTGAACCGATGAGCACCAGCAGGCTTTGGGGGAATGAAGCCCTTTCTACTGCCGTTCATGCAGGGGTTTCAGAATCGCAGTGTCAGCCTGTGAGCATGTTGATCAGTGAGAGCAGCAGGTGAGGTGATGATAATGTGCCACAGGGTGGATGGAGGAGTGCTGGATGTGGTGCAGGAGAGGATTAGGTTAGGAAGGAGGTGGGATTTCTGAAGCTGCAGGGATGGAGGTTGAAGATGGGGGGTGGGGGAGGCAGGTTTTATGTCAGACTGCTGCAGTCGCAGGAGGGCGGGGCTTAAAGCCCATCACTGGGAAACCATGCAGCAGTCATATTCTATGGGGGAGGGGCTGACTGTACATCAGTGATCATGTATGTAATAATTGGTGGGATTTGGGTTGAATGGTCTGTTCTCCACCACTCAGGAGTTTTATCATCTGTAAGCAGAAATGTCACAGCATCAGAGCGGGCTTAGGTGCTGGCAGCTCTGCGTTCTGTCCGATAGGGTTAGGGTTAGGGTTAATTAAAAAAAGGGTTAGGGTTCAGCTGTTTTTGCCCAGAGACAAATGATTTGATATTTACCACCAGGTCACAGGTTTTGGACAAAACCATCGTGCAACGGCCATCAAAGCGATCCAAACCACCAGTGTGCCATTTCTGCTCTACTTCCCTCAACCAAATGTTCTCAGTCTGCTCGCATCTCTCTGGGTTCAGTGGATTCTTGTGTCCCGAGGCTAAACGCAATGAAGCAAAACCAGGAAAATATGTCAGCAGTGATGAAAAAGAAAGAATAACAATTAGATTTTTTTAATTGTCTACTTTTCTTTCAGTCTTCAACCCAAACAAATATGTTATCATCTTCCTATCATCTCAGGGGAGGTTTAGCTCTATTACCCATCTACTGGTAATTTAATTTACAACAGATTTAAAATAAATCAAACACATTACCTTATTGGATAACCCTCCCTCTTAGCCGCATTAAGCATACAGTATTACTGCTTAGCAGATGATTCTGCCTGATTGAGTTTGAAATGGTGTAAATCACTTCAGTGGACTCCGAAGACACGATAATCAGCACACTCTCATGATCAAACCATCCTTCAGACCCAAAACGCTAAGGAAAAGCTGAAATGTCAACTTTTTAAATCTCCACTTCATGTTCCCTCCAGCCTCAATTTATTTGTTCTGGGAGTATTTTGCATTGATTGGTTGTCACACAATCTCATGCCTTTTCCATCTCTGAAGGGGAGGTTTGAGACACAGAGGTATGTCATTTTCGAAGTGTGCCGTATCTGCTGTGGGGCAGAATTCTAATGAGAAATATAAACTCTTTTTTTTAAAACAAAGCACACAAAATAGTGTCTAAATCCATTTGGTTAATGAAACTAAAATTTCTTGAGGAAATGCTAGCCATACCAGAGTTTTAAAAATATAACAATTATTGAGTTGTCAAATCTTGAAAACATCATGTAGAACAGACCTTGACACATTTATTGATAAATACCTCTACAGAGACAAAGATCTGTTTGACCTCTACAGTGGTTTGCAAAAGTATTCATACCCCTTGAACTTTTCCATATTTTGTCACATTACAACCACAAACATAAATATATTTCACTGGAATT